CTGTCCCCAGGAGGATTATTTCCCCCCCAACCTCTTTGTCAAGGTCAATGGGAAACTGTGCCCCCTGCCGGTAAATGCTCTTCCCTTCTTCTGGTAGTAACTCCTTCCCCTTTCAATTCATAAATCTTAACTACAAACCTGTTATGAAAGAGGCATGCCTAGCACAGTGCCTGGCACATTCCAGGTGTTCAGTTTACTGATTGAATCAATATAATCAGCCCTATATTAAGACAGGGCTGAACAAAGATTCTGTGAGAACCCAGAGGAGGGACATTAGTTCAACCCAAAGATTCGGGAAAGACTTCTTAGAAGGCATGGCCCCAGAGCTGAGACTTAGAAGAAGTGAGGTGTCCCTACGCCTCCTCCTCAGGGACTCAGTGAGTGGGTTCCTATTTCCTTGGTCAATAAATAAGCTCTCCTTTCTCCTCAGGAGTGAACCCCACACACAGCCCTAGACAGTGCCCCAGTTTTATGAGTCACCGAATGGGCCCCCATCCCCTTGGTCAGTAAGTGAGTCTGCCTTCCCTCCAGGGAGTGAGTAACTTGAGACAAGGTATCTTTTGTTGTTAGAGCAGAGCCCCTTCCCAGAGCTACCTCTCCACTGACCAGTCCTTCCCTTCCCCAGGGTTACCTCCCCCCAACCAAGAATGGGGCTGAGCCCAAGAGGCCCAGCCGCCCCATCAACATCACACCCCTGGCTCGACTCTCGGCCACTGTTCCCAACACCATCGTGGTCAATTGGTCATCTGAGTTTGGACGGGTGAGCACAGCTAAAGCGTGGTGCCTGGAAAAGCCTGCAGGGAGTGAAGGGGAATCATCTAGTGTCCTGGGTTGGGGAAATGTCTTTATGGGTCTCTCTGCCTTTACCCACTATCTCTGGTCCTCATGGGACAAAAGTGGGTGGTGGTGATATGAGAAGCAGAGCTAATTGTCTCCCCCCACCTCCAAGTAGAATTACTCCTTGTCTGTGTACCTGGTGAGGCAGTTGACTGCAGGGACCCTTCTACAAAAACTCAGAGCAAAGGGTATCCGGAACCCAGACCACTCCCGGGCACTGAGTGAGTAACATCCTTCCTCCCTGGCCCTGATCTGGATCCAAGTCTTCCTGACCCTCCAGCCTTCATAATCAAACCCATACCCTTCTTGTGACAACTTGCGTCCCCTCTCACATGAGCCCCAGCCCTCCCCTATATCCCTCACCAGTCTTCATGGTTGAAGTCAGACCACTCCCAGGCAGTGAGTGACACTCTTGCATTCTCAGTTGTGTATCTGCTTTGCACCTCACAGACCCTAACTGCAGCCCTGCTAGTATATGGGTTCTCTGGACTAGAAAGAGTCTTTAGGATCATCTAATCTAACCGTCACGTGATGCTTCAACTCCTTCTAGATCATCTCTAATACAGCCAAAGTGTCACCCAGCTATGTTTAAGCATCTTCAGGGATGGGGAAATCTCTCCCCCACACCCAGGCTTCATAATCCAGATCCCAGACCACCTCCATGTAACATGCCATTGGCCCCCAAAGACTCTCCACCCACAAGCCTGTCAGCCAGAGCCATCTGCTTCTGGCCTCACCAACTCCTGGGCTTCCTCCAGCCTTGCTGACCCCATGGCTCTGCCTCACTCTTGTTTCAGTCAAGGAAAAATTGACTGCTGACCCTGACAGTGAGGTGGCCACTACGAGTCTCCGGGTGTCACTCATGTGCCCGGTGGGTACAGGGGAAAAAGGAAAGGGGGAGGGAGTTGGGTTAAATCTCTGGACTCAAAAGGGTTCCTAGGGATACTAGAATGAAGTTTTCTGGGATGAAACCAGAGTGGAGACTCTGACCAGAGAACTCGCCTGTCCTTAGCTAGGGAAGATGCGCCTGACTGTCCCTTGTCGTGCCCTCACCTGCGCCCACCTGCAGAGCTTCGATGCTGCCCTTTATCTACAGATGAATGAGAAGAAGCCAACGTGGACATGTCCTGTGTGTGACAAGAAGGCTCCCTATGAATCTCTTATCATTGATGGGTAGGACTGTTTTGCTTTCCCATACCTAGGACATCCACTAGGACCCCCTTTTCATTTAAATGGCTTATTTCCCCTCACATGAACCCTATCTATCCTCTTTACCAATTCATATAGACATTTATGACATCATTAAGAATTTAGTGTATACAGGACATTGTGCTGAGACTTTGCATGCATTGTCTCATTGAATCCTATGATTGGCAAGTGATAGTCTCACAGAGAAAAAAAATGAAGGAAAAAAAATAGCGCTATGAGATAGGTACTATCATTACAGATAAAGAAACCAAGGCCTAGTGAGATTGAGTCTTGTTCAAGTTTATATTGTTAGTAAGTGGTAGAGCCAATGTATTGAACTGTTATAATATGTTGTCTATAACAACTACCTGACCTCCCACTGAACATAGCAATAAGGTTCTTTTGAGGGCCTGGGTGTTCTGATCTAGCTAGTCTTATCCCCCCTCTAGAGCCTATGTTGTGGTTCTCGTTCCCGGTGTCTTTTTTGAGATGGTTTATGGAGTTCTGATCTCTGCTCCTTCTGTCTTTTTCCTTGTCCTACATGTAACAGGTGCTCAGATTGTATTAATTTAAAACCTAACACTTAAAGTTTGCAGTGCTCTTTTATATACTTTATGTTGTTCGATTCCAACTCAGAGAGGTCCAGTAGGGTGGATAATGTCCCTATTTTACAGATGAGGACACTGAGGTGCAGGAAGGTGAGTCACAGAACTCTCTGGTTACTGTTCCAGCCATCTCCCAGCTTCATGAATTCCCATTTCTCCCCTCCCCCAGTTTATTCATGGAGATTCTTAATTCCTGTTCGGATTGTGATGAGATCCAGTTCATGGAAGATGGATCCTGGTGTCCAATGAAACCCAAGAAGGAGGCATCTGAGGTTTGCCCCCCGCCAGGGTATGGGCTGGATGGTGAGTGACCCCCTGTTCCCCAGCTGAGCTCAATCTTGGATGACCTCTTCTCTGAGACACAGTCTTCTTAACCACCTGCAGGCCTCCAGTACAGCCCAGTCCAAGAGGGAAATCCATCGGAGAATAAGAAGAAGGTTGAAGTTATTGACTTGACAATAGAAAGCTCATCAGATGAGGAGGATCTGCCTCCGACCAAGAAGCACTGTTCTGTCACGTCATCTGCCATCCCAGCCCTACCTGGAAGCAAAGGGTATGAGAGAATAGGCTAAATCTATAACAAAAGGGACAGGGGAAGAAGTCGGGAATGATTGTGATCCTTGGGCAAACCCTGGGGCAAGGGAAAGGTGGAGCGGACAGAGAAGGAGCCTGGGAAGCTGAGCTGGGTGAGGGTATCTGTAGTTCACTAGCTGCCCCATCTCCTCTCTACTCAGAGTCTTGACGTCTGGTCACCAGTCATCCTCAGTGCTGCGGAGCCCTGCTATGGGCACGTTGGGCGGGGATTTCCTGTCCGGTCTCCCACTACATGAGTACCCACCTGCCTTCCCACTGGGGGCAGACATCCAAGGTATGACACTGATCATAAAGTGGGCTGTGTGCTGCAACACCCTCCCCAGAACCACATCAGAACCCCTGCTCCTTTTCAAAGCCACCTGGTTCTCCTAGCAAGGGGCCACAATCCAAGGAACTTCTTTGTCTTTTAGCAGTAAAGGGGTCAGATAGGAGGTTGATTTTGATTTTTCTTTTCCTGCCAGGTTTAGATTTATTTTCTTTCCTTCAGACTGAGAGCCAGGTAAGTAGTTCTTTCTCCTTCTGAAGATCTCAGGTCTCTGAAGCTTCCTTTCTAGGCACTGATAGGACCACTCCTTCTCTCATTTTCCCGGGGACCTAGGTCTGCTTTTCTGTGAGAGGTTGGGGGGTGTGGGCAGCCTATTTCCCTCCTAAGCCCCACTGATACTTCCTTGGATTCCCACCTATGTCTTCCTGGGTCCCCTGTTACTGTTCTGTCTCCAGAGTTTTTCGTGTAGTTCTGCCCCTGCCTACTCACCCCCACACATGCCCTCGTGCACTTAGAGCATCATGCCTGTCCCAACTGGACATTCCGCACATTTCAGACATGCACGAGACTAGGAACTTAGCAAGCTGGAGGGGCTCCCTCAAGGCAGGGAAAAGGGGTGGGGTGTGGGGAAGTAGGGGAAAGAGAGAAAGGCTCTCCTGCTTCTCAGAGACTACCTTGGGATCCATAGGGGTCGATATTTCTGAGGTGAGCGATTGGGAGGTGGGTAAAGGATAAGATCTTAAACTACGCCCTTGATTCCTCCCAGCACTATGGTCCCTCCGTCATCACCTCGCTAGATGAACAGGATGCCCTTGGCCACTTCTTCCAGTACCGGGGGACCCCTTCCCACTTTCTGGGCCCACTGGCCCCCACGTTGGGGAGCTCCCACCGCAGCTCCACTCCGGCACCCCCTCCTGGCCGTGTCAGCAGCATTGTGGCCCCTGGGGGGGCCTTGAGGGAGGGGCATGGAGGACCCCTGCCCTCAGGTCCCTCTTTGACTGGCTGTCGGTCAGACATCATTTCCCTGGACTGAGTTCCTTGGATTATGGAAACTTCACTGCCCCCAACACTGAGCAAGTATGCTGTGGAGACCTGACCCCTGGCTACTCCGATCCCTTGGGGGGCTTTGGGCAAAGGCCAGACCTTTGTAGACACCTACTTTTGGCCTCATCTCTGCCTGACAAGGCCAGCACCCAAAGGGTTAATATTTAACCTCTTTTTAAGGACATTGGGGTCTGTTTTTGGAAATGTTCTTTAGATGGTGGCACATTCCTTTGGACATGTTGACTTAGGCAATGGGAGGCAAATGGGATGGGATGTAAACTGGAGGAAGGGTTGAATCCTCAGCCTTGATTATGTCTAGAGCCTTTTGGGAAGGGGCCCTTCTCTTGCTCTTCAGATACCCTCTCTTCCCATCCCCAAATCCATGGCTCTGTTTCTTCCCATTTCCTCTTCATGTCCATTCCGTTCCCTTTGGCCACACAGACAGATGGAGAAACTGAGACAGGCAGTTTCAGAGATGGACAGAGAACTTTTATTTTGGATTGTGGATTTTTTGTACATAAACAAGAAAAACCAAAATACTCCAAAGATGACTTCCTTTGCCTCCTGCTTCCAGTATGACTGAGGAGGAGATAAGGCCTTAGCCATGATCCCCAGGGGTTTGGGAGCAGGGCCTGGCCTATTGCCTGGCTCTATCTCTATTTATATATTTAAATTCACGATGTTTCTTATGCCAGCGGGCCAGGACCTAAGCTTCTAGAGGCCCATGGCCCTGTGGTTAGGCCTGGCTCATTCTGCACCTTTCTGGGGAGATGGGCGGACCCTTGTGCCCTCCTTCCCAATCTCCTTTTTCAGGCTTCTCCAGGGCCTAGGATCTATGTTGTAATTTTACTTTTTATTCCCAAAGTTGTAGCAAAGTTCTCACCCATAATAAAGATTGTGAATGTTCTGTGTCATGGAGGTGGACTAGGGAAGGGATTATGTACTTCATTTCCCAGACCCCTGGTTTGGGGGAAGAGGGTCCATGTTCTGTTCTTCTTTTGCTGGTCTGGGGTCCATGTAAGCTCCACTTTCACGTGATGGGGGTGTTACCCTGAGGATTTCCAAGAGCTGTTGTTATTTTTTCCTTCCTCTCTCCCATGCCCATAAAAACACTAGACCATTCCAGCCCAATGCTGTGGCGCTCTCAAGTCATTCCTCACCTTTACCTGCCCAGATGTTGCAGCCAGAGCCTGAGGGCAAACTTGGTTCCAGTGCTGACCCTCTCTTTGTCCTCTGCTGTGGATGGGGTCGTCTGCAGCAGTGTGGACATGGGCAGGACTAAAGGTCGTCGGGCTCTTCCATCCTCCTCTAGTTCCACTGCACTGCATGATGACAACTCTGGTCTGGGCTGTGCCTTGTAGTTTACTAAGAACTTCCGTATGTTGGGTCATCTAATCTTCCCAACTACCACAGGATGTGGGTAGATGGGTGTTAACCTCATTTTATAGAAAGGAAACAGGTTCATGGAAGGTTAAATGACTTTTCCCTATGGGAGAGCTGAGACTCAAACCTAGATATTCAATGCTAGCCATTAGAGCAGGAACCCTTGGAGTTATGGTCGGTGTCCTGGATCTCATGTGTACTTATTTATCAGCTGACCAACTCCCTAAATCTCCCCCACAACACAAAATTTCATCCTGAGGAGGGGATAGAAACCGAACTTCTCAACGTGTATATCTTGGTGTGCTGGAGGCTCAGGGAGAAGCTTTTACTTACAGGACAGAGGGTGGTAGGTCCTGGGGGGGAAGTGTGGGTATCTCTGTCCCATCCTCTGTGGCAGCCACTGCAGCTGCTATGTCTGGTCTCAGCCACGTAAAGGCGCTCACCTCACTTGGGTTTGGTTGGATCTTGGCCTGGGGTCAGACATATTGATCCTCAGTCATGGCAGTTCCCTAGGAGACCTGTTCTTGATCACAGCCTACCCGCAGGTGGAATGGAGTGGGGCAGGGGGAAAGGCTACTGGGTGTTCTTGGTTATCTCTGACGCCCTTCCCCCTCCTTAACCACAATCAGAACCACATTGCTTGGGCTCCCCTGGGGCCCATTTCCTCCCTTCACTGCCAGCCCTACCTGCAGCTGCTGTTGTGACTCCTGGGAGATCACAAGTAGATACAGAACAATGTGATGGTATTTGGGGAAACCCCAGCTCAGTCTAGGAGGGTAGGCAGACTAAGAGAAGAGAACAGCAAAGTGAGAACTTCCTCTTTTTGAGATTTTGTAAACACTGTTTTAGGATGAAACAAAATGCTGGCCAAAAGCTGAGGAAGTAGATGGTAGAGATGGTGCAGCAGGGGCATGGGGGAAGGTTGTGGATCTGGGGACTCCAAACCACCTGTATGCCACTGTTTTCCCCACGGCCAAGGCAGGTGGGGGCTGATCTGTGGACTTTGGAGGGTAGCTGAGGTCTCTAGGTTAAATAGAGAGGGCCTTCTCCCAGGTCGCTGTCTCACCTCCCATAACCCCAGAGGGACCCAAGAGAACTGGCCCTGGGGCAGCTGTAGTCCAGTCTCCTCCCAAAGCTCTCGAAGCCCTCCGTCCAGCAGCTGGGAGTCAGAGAAGGCAGGTCAGAGTGGCCAATGCCTGACTCCAAGTCCTTTTGTTTGCCCCTTCCTCAGCCCACACCCAAGTGGTCCCAGACATGAGTCTCTTGGCTCAGGGTGAGGTGCTGGTTGGGTCAGCTGACTGGTTACCTCCTCGTGGAGTTCCACATGCCCACCTGAAACAACAGTGGGATCAAAAGGTGAATGGTGGTGGTCTTGACCAGGGACCCTCACTCGCTGTTTACACTCCAGTGGACACAGATGTAGCTGCAGCCCCTTGTGATTGAGAACATGCCACATTACTGGGCCCACTTGTCTATCCTGAGATTGAGAATAGCTTTGCCGGGACAAAGGGCAAGTTTCCTTCCAGAACTTGAGGCCTTGTCCCCAGAGCACTCACCTGGGGGTACCCAGAGGTTGGGGGAAATGCTGAGGGTGCGAGTCCTTCGGGTTAACAAAACCATCTGGTCACTGGACTGCAGAATGACGGCCACGCCCAGGCCCACGCCTCGATCTGCGGGCAGCTGGGCCCCGGGGGCCTTGGGCTGCTGGTCCAAGGCCGCAAAAGGGCAGAAAGCGGGTCGCTGGCGGGAGGGAGTCACCTGGGTAAGGCTTCTGAAGGGGGCAGGAGTGGGTGGGCGGGACCTTCAAATATTGGGCGACACCGCGCAGTGGGGGAGGAGGCCGCGTCGGGGCAATTGGCCGGGCCCACTGGTCTCTCGCCGCCAGTTCCCGCCCGATCCCACCCTTCCCGCCCTTTCCCGCCCTTCGCTTCCCCACGCTGGGCCCCCTTCTCCCGACCTGGAGCGGAAGCCTAGCCGAGGCGCCTGGGAACGGCCTGTCCGAGAGGACGAGCTGTCCTCGCTTCAGGCTGCAGTACGTGGGCCAGGGCCCGAGCCCTGACCCAGCGCCCAGGAGGCCACACACACTCTGTGCGAAGCTCACCGACTCCGGACGCCCGGACAGGAGCAGCAGCACCCGCGTCGCGGCCATAACGCGGCTCTGAGGTCGCTGCGGCCCGCTTGCTGCCCTCTGGTGGCGGGTGGAAGCCGGGTTTCAGAACGTCCCCAGGAAATACAGGCACAACTCTTGTGGATGATCCATGAATGTAATGTTAACGACAAAGAAGAATACCTCTAATTCTTCAGCTCCCGTTTTCTTTCATTCTTCTCTGTTTAGGACGATGATTCCCAGACCGAATGATTCTGGGCTCACATGTCACCTCCTTCCGGCCCTAGGCCGAACTGTAAGCACCCCTCCGCGGCACTTTGCACACCTGTTACAGAAGGTATTACCCCAAATTAGTTAATTACATCCGTCTCCAAGCTGGACACCCGAGAAACATTTTTGACACCACCTTCCCTTCTTTCATTTCATTCAAATGGCAAACAAATGCCGCAGATTCTACCTCCTTAAACTTTCTCAAATCCATGTCTCACTCTTCATCTCTCCAGTTTCCAGTGCCCTAGTTCAAGCGTTCTTCACGTTCTGCCTGAAATATTGTTTGCAAGTCTCCAAACAGGCCTGCCTCAGCCAACTCATTCTCTACAGTACGGTCAGAGTGATCTTTCTAAAGTACCAATCTGATCATACTGCTTCCCACTGCTCTCAGGAGAAGACACACTCCTTAGCGCAGTGCAGCCAGGACCCACCAGTCTGCCCTGTCTCTTCAGCACCAATTCTGGCCCATAGCCTACGTTCTAGTCAGACCCTATTTGTAGTTTCCCCAAGAAACAGGCTGCTCCCCTCTAGGATTCTTTTCCCTTGTAAAATATTTTTTTTTCTTTTCAAAACATACTTGCTATTTTAAATTGATACATAATAGATATACAAATTTTCAGGGCACATGATATATTCATATAATCAAATCAGGGTAATTGATTGGGATATGCACCACTCTAAATATTTTATCTTTTATCTTTTTTTTTTTTTTGAGACAGAGTCTCACTGTGTTGCCCGGGCTAGAGTGCCGTGGCGCCATCCTAGCTCACAGCAACCTCAAACTCCTGGGCTCAAGCAATCCTTCTGCCTCAGCCTCCCAGGTAGCTGGACTACAGGCATGCGCCACCATGCCCGGCTAATTTTTTTTCTATATATTTTTAGTTGTCCAATTAATTCCTTTCTATTTTTAGTAGAGACGGGGTCTTGCTCTTCCTCAGGCTGGTTTCGAACTCCTGAGCTCAAACAATCCGCCCGCCTCGGCCTCCCAGAGTGCTAGGATTACAGGTGTGAGCCACTGCGCCCAGCCTATTTTTAGTTTTTTGAGGAACCTCCATGATGTTTTTCCATAGTGGCTGTACTAATTTACATTCCCACCAACAGTGTGCGAGGGTTTCCCTTTGTCCACATCCTTGCCAGCATCCGTTATTTCCTTTTTGATAAAAGCCATTCTAACTGGGGTGAGATGGTATCATTGTGGTTTTTTTTTTTTTGAGACAAAGAGTCTTGCTCTGTTGCCCCGGCTAGAGTGCAGTGGTGTCATCATAGCTCACTGCAAACTCCAACTCCTGGGCTCCAGTGATCCTTCTGAGTCAGCCTCCCAAGTAGCTGGGACTACAGGTGCATGTCACCACACCTGGCTATTTTTTTCTATTTTTAGAGACAGGGTCTCCCTCTTGCTCAGGGTGGTCTCCAACTCCTGACCTCAAGTGATTCTCCGGCCTCGCCTCCCAGAGTGCTAGGATTCTTTATGGGCATGAGCCACTGCGCCTGCCCCTCATTGTGATTTTGATTTGCATTTCTCTGATTAGTGATGTTGAGCATTTTTTCATATATCTGTTGCCATTTGTATGTCTTTTGAGAAATGTCTGTTCAGATCTTTTGCCCATTTTTTTTGAGACAGAGTCTCACTCTCTTGCCTGGGGCAAGTGCCGTGGCGTCAGCGTAGCCCACAGCAACCTCAAACTCCTGGGCTCAAGCGATCCTCCTGCCTCAGCCTCCCAAGTAGCTGGGACTATAGGCATGCGCCACCATGCCCGGCTAATTTTTTCTATTTTTAGTTGTTTGGCCAATTTCTTTCTATTTTTAGTAGAGACGGGGTCTCGCTCTTGCTCGGGCTGGTCTCGAACTCCTGAGCTCAAAGGATCCTCCCGCCTCGGCCTCCCAGAGTGCTAGGATTACAGGCGTGAGCCACTGTGCCCAGCCCTTGGGTGACTTCTTCATTGGGAACTGATGCATTTGATAGATGACTAATCTAATTCATTTAAGGTTCTTTCCACTGCCAAGATTTGATGAAGGGAGAATACAGTGATGGGTCTAAGACAGAATCAGCAAACTCTTTCAGATGTAGGGATAAAGGGAATTTCACAAAAGAATGTACAACTTATCCCATTGCAAATAATGCATCCAGACACCTCCTTTATTGTTTGTTTCATCCCCCCAGATCTTTTGAGGAAAATGATTCTTCTCGGTCATTGTCTCTTCATGGTACTCTCGATGTATGACTCCAGCAAGAAGATGGTTTCATCCACCTGGATCTCACTGGCATCCAACCTGAGTGAAAAAGTGAAAGCATTTGCCCAGACTGAATGTTCATTAGCATATTTAAGCTTAGAGGCTGTGTGGATGTGGCCATGGAGAATTGCTCAGTTGCCCTTGAGAGCAGTGGGTGGAAAGCAGGAGAACCAATAGTTCATTCTTCCATTTACTAAGCATCTTTTATGTGCCAGGCACTGTGAAAACTGCTGAGGATGCAAAATATAGAGCCTCTGTCCTGGGAAAAGTTACAGTCTAACTCACAACTAGGAGAAAGAACAGCACACATAAAGGAATAGGAATAAAAGGACCTAGTGTGTTTTGAAATAGCAAGAAGCTGAAAAGTGGCTGAAGCTTAAAGTGAGTGGTGATTAGGAAGAGAAGAGAACTTTCACAACCCATTAAAAGCCATCAAGGAAAAACCCACAGCTAACATCACATTTAATGGTGAAAGACTGAAAGCTTTTCCCCTAAGATCAGGAGGAAGACAAGGATGTCTGCTATTTAACCTTTTACAGGAGGGTCTAGGTAGGGTAATTAGGCAAGAAAAAGAAATAAGAGGCATGCAGATCGAAAAGGAAGAAGTAAAAAAAAAAAATCTGTATTCACAGATAGATAACATGACCCTATACAGAGAAAATCTCAAAGAATCCACAAAAAATTACTAGAACTAATAAATGATTTAGTAAAGTTGCACAATACAAAATCACAACACAAAAACTGGTTGTTTTTGTATACATTAGCAATGAATGATCCACAAATGAAATAAGAAAATGCTAAACTAGCATCAAAAAAATACTTAAAAATTAATTTAAGAGGCACAAAAGAGGTGCAAGACTTATACACTGAAAACCCTAACTGCCACTCCCAAATATTGCTGAAAGAAATTAAAGAAGACCTAAATATTTTTTATTAT